ATGCACTTCAGGGGCAGCCCCATGTAGAGCACATTGCAGTATTCCAGCCTAGAGATCACATTTGAGTATGTCATTAAAGATGGTTGGTGAATGAACATGTGAATTCATGGATTTCTTGGAATACAGGTAGTCCCGGAGTGCTAGGCATATTTAGTAGTTGGATTCTTCAGAGAGTAAGATCCATACCCTGGATTTGGTTGTAATCAAATCAATCTCCTGTTGATCCATTTTCTGCAGACATTTTGCTCCAAGTCCCAGGAGATCGCCAATCTCCAACCCTCTTGATTTCAACTCTTAGCAAACTACAAATAGCACAAGGGAACTCCCACTGCATAAATGTACTCTTGCCAGGAGATTGTTCTGACCTAGGCTTCCACAGCACCACGAAGCCGAGTCCTTGTCCTGATAAACCCCTTTTATTTAATTTACAATGAATTCTTCTCCAGCAAAGTCCCAGGCTACAGTCTTTCAAGATAGTTCACAATTACTGACCTTTATCAGGCTTGGAGGTGGCCATGCCGATATCTTTCAGAAGCTGCAATACTTGGCAAGAATGCAGGAATGAACTAATTGTCTCCTGCAAAACCCCTCCCCTTTTGCTGCTCTTTTATTCCCTATGGGAGGGGCCATTCACCGTCCACCTGTGGCTTTACTCCCAAGTCGACCCCTGTTCTTTAACTGTTCCCTTCGTCTGGCAACTCTGTGCATGCGCACACTGGGAACAGGCTCCAGCTGTTTGTCTACCTCACTGATGTCTGACTCTGAAGGCAGCTGATAACTGTCAGATAGCCCGGGCCCCATCTCTGCCTCGGACACACAGCCCTCCTCAGAGCCTTCCCCAGACTCCAGGACTGGCCCATCTTCCTCCCCAACCTCCTCATTGTCTGAATCTGCTGCCAGCTCTGCTGTCGGGCCACAACAATTTATTAGGATCTCTGAACAAATGATGTGTTTTTGAGACAAATAGAAGACGCCTTACATAATTCTGTTTTCTTTTTTAAAACAGCATCAGTGAAATTGCTGACGAAGTAGAAATGCTGAGTGACAGTGAAGAGAAGGGATCTGAGGAGGAATCTGAAGATATTGAAGTTCTCCCAGAGGCTTCCCAGACAACAGAGTGCTTTGGGGAGGGTGTATCTAAATTATCAAAACTTAAGGAAAGAGAACTTCGTAAATTAAGGAAATTGGACTATAGCTGGGCCTCAGGACTCTGAACATGTGATATGGCTTTCTTTTTTTCTTTTTTACATATTTCTTCCAATAATTTAATAAAGTGCCAAATAAAAGCTAGCTTTCTATGTTACTTTTGCCATCGATATAAAGTACATCTTCAGGGAATTCTTGGACACCATCCTTCATCGGCTTGAGAATGCTTGTCTAGAAAAAAGAGTTGTGTGTTGAAAACAGGACTTTTTTTCAGAAGAAGATCTTTCCTTTTTATGTGTTACTTTCGGCCAAGATTCAAGGGCATGACAAAGCGTTTATGTAAATGCATCTTATTTTAGACATAGGATGCATTTACGTGCTTGTGTGTTTAAAAAAACCTTGTGGTATAACATGGGGGGGCTAAGGGATCTTTGCTTGGGAAGAAAAGCAGCCAACGTTCTGAGCTGAAAGAAGTATGTGCTAATCTGCATTCCTAAAATGTTTAGAGATGCCTGAGGGAGAGTTTGGAAATCTAAGACGTTCAAAACAAACCCACTTTTGTCAAATGCAGACAGTAGGAATGAAATAGCTAATTAAGTAAAAGAGGTCATTTAGGATGCTGAAAAAATATCAGCCTGTGCAAAAAAGTTGATCTGAAAAGAAAATTGATTCAAGCATTGAGAGGGAGAGAGAGAGAGAGGGAGGGAGGATGGAAAGAGAGGGAGAGAGACACGGGAGACTCTCTGAATCTGATACTGTAAACACAATGTTGGTTCACAATGGTTTTCCCCTTATCACTGTTTCCTGCAGTAAACTACTTTAGAAACAAAAAAAAATGATTGCCCAAGAATGTTTCTAAGTGGCATAAATCATCAACAAAACTGTTTTTAAAACAATTTGTATTAAAGTTCACAGTTATAAAGCGAAGAAGCTTAAGAAAAAGAGGAAAATTATTTCTAGTTCTCTAGTGTCAAAGCTTCAAACTCATTTTTTCCTCCTAATCAGCCTTTTCTCATGGAAAGGTTTCTTATAAAAAATATTTTTAACTTGTGACCAATTGCTTAATGTTTGTTCAATGTTACAACCAGTCTTCACACTTAATGATTGTTGCGGCATCCCTGTAGACGTAAAATTTGAGTGCTTGGTAAATGGCATGTATTTACAATTATTGCAGAGTCCCAGGATCACATAATTACCATTTCTGACCCTTCCAGAGGGGCACGGGGGGGGGGAGCTTTTGACAAGCAAAGGGGGGGGAGACAGATTTGCTTAATGACCATATGATTCAATTAACTGGCAAAAAATTGGGTGTGATTCAGTTAATGACCCCATTGCTTAGGATAGAACCTCTGGTCCCAATTGTGATTATAAGTTGACTACCTGTAATATAATTGATCCACTATTTATTTATCTCATTTTTAAGCATACCACAGATGAGAACATTTCTACAATCCAAAAAGCTACAATTTTTTTCTCCACATGCCGTGATTGACACTAATAATAGTATAGCCTTGAAAGTAACTTGAGACATGAAAGGAGAGTCTCCTGTTTGAAGATAATCGCATGGCATAATCTAGGACTTAAAATTGCTTTGTGGATGATAGCTAATTCAAAATGAACTTAAAGTCCATGTTGCATCATAAGATAATTTCTTAAAGCAGCCAATGAGTTCATGATTGGAGCTAGATAAAAATAATTTTGAGGAATGCTAACCAGAAAGAACTTGTTCTAAAGCCACACTTGGAATACTGGAATTCAGTTTTGGTCGTCACGATGTAGAAAAAAGATGTGGAGACTCTAGAAAGAGTGCAGAGAAGTGCAACAAAGATAAGTAGGGGATTGGAGACTGAAACATGAAGAACAGTTGCAGGAACTGGGTATGTCTAGTTTAATGAAAAGAAGGACTAGAAGAGACATGATAGCAGTGTTCCAATATCGCAGGGGATGCCACAAAGAAGAGGAAGTCAAACTATTCTCCAAGGCACCTGACTAAGATGACTAAGAAGCAGTGGGTGGAAACTACCGGTAATCAAGGAGAGAAGCAACTTAGGAGAAATTTCCTGACAGAACAATTACGGTAATCAGTGGAACAGCTTGCCTCCAGAAGCTATGAATGCCCCAACACTGGAAGTCTTTAAGAAGATGTTAGATAGCCATTTGTCTGGAACAGTATAGGGTTTCTTGCCTAGGCAGGGGGTTGAACTAGAAGACCTCCAAGGTCCCTTCCAACTCTGCTATTGTATTGTATTGTATTGTATCGTTCCATTGTTGAACTTTTTTACCTATCACTTATTGAGATGATTTACTAAAAAATCAGGGTTTGAATTTTGTATTAATTTTATATGGAAATGAATCAAGCTTTGAAGCAAACCATGTCCCTATTATGCCAGACTATATTCACAGATTTGGTTTCTGTTCCTGATGGATGCTAGAACTATAGGTATAAATGGTGACCTGAGGTTTCATGTACTGTATAATGTGTTTATATGTCCATTATATAGTTTTATTGTGACATAAAGGAAATGGCTTTGTTCTGTAGTTAGGTTGAAGTTAAGGTTAACGGTGAGGTGGAAGCTGTTGAGGGTCTCATGAAATTGAATGTGATTCTTTTTAGTAAATGCAGATGATAAACACGTCTTCAGTGAATCAATAATGTCAATAAAAGTGATTTATTGGGGGCTGTGCTACTGATTTTCAGGTTTTCAAAAGTTAAGCAGTTATGGGTGAGCATACACCACTCTCGTAGCATGGGGTGTCAAACTGGTGGCCCAAAGCCCAGATGCGTCATGCACAGGCCACGCCCACCCCAGCTCCACAAAGGGGAAAAACGTCCCGTGATGGCAACGTGATGCGGCAAGTTTGACACCCGTGATCTATGGTGTTGACATCACAGCTCAGGCTACTCAAATACTAAAGTATTAATAAGCTACAACCCAAAATGGATAATGATATTGCACTTTCTTGGGCACCATGCTTACATACAAACAGCCATCCAACCTGAAGCAGATTCTCACAGCAAGCAGAAGTAACTGGAAGATGATGCTAAGATAGACCAAGAAAGCCACATTTGTTTTGCCTCCATAAAATTTACATCACTCACTCTATTACACACTTCAATAAGTTTGCATAAAGGTTTAGAAGCATCCAGAAATGTTTTTTCTTTTAATGTGATGTATGCCACCATCAAGTTGCATCTGGAATCTTATAGGACAAACCAGAGCATTTGGTCTAGTCTAGTGGTTTAAGGCACCAGGCTAGAAACTAGGAAACCATGAATTCAGGTCTGGCCTTAGCCATGAAAGCTAGCTGATGATCTTGGGCCAGTCACTCTCAGCCCAATTTACCTCATAAAGTTTTTGTGGGGAAAATAGGAAGGAAGACCATTAGATATATTCGCCACATTGAGTTGTTTATAAAAAATAATAGGGGTAGGGTATAAGTTAAATAAAACATAAAACAACAGATGCAGGTTTGACATCAAGTTAGACAAAGTAATAGAACATTTTAGCCACCCAAGACACTCCATTACAGATCTCCCAAGTACTGATCTGGAACAAAAAAATTGCTAATCTCCTTTTCAAAGCTGAAGAGCCAGCGCTGACCGAAGATGTCTATGGGGTCATGTGGCCAGCATGACTAAATGCTCAAGGTGTACAGAACACTACTACCTTCCCACCAAGGTGGTCCCTATTTTATTATTTGCATTTTTACATGCTTTCAAACTGCTAGGTTGGCAGAAGCTGGGACAAGTAACAGGAACTCACTCCGTTACACAGCGCTTGGGAGTCAAACTGCTGAACTGACTTCTGATCAACAAGCTCAGCATCTGAGCCACTGTGTCCCAAGACATGATACTCGTAATTACACCCAAACCTTTTCATCTGAGTTTATCATATGGTATCAAGCTCTTCAACCAGGGCTATAATCTCAGATGCATCATATGGTATCAAGCCCATGGACAGCACAGGATTGCTTTGTGAGGAGTTCAAATAACATTCAACCATTAAGGTGAATGCCTAATCGGTGGGTTTGGAATTATAGATGGACAAGATGCAATTTCTGACTAGTTTCAAAATAGAATATGCAATATACAGTATATTCTTTTCTCTTAAGACTCCTACCCTTCAACAAACATATTATTAACTAATTAGTTTTCTGACACAGGAAATAATGATACTGTAGTAGTTGGCCTTGCACATTACAAACCAATAAAACAATTTCAGTGTGTTAGATTGCTTCATTTGTTTGTCAGTATTTAGGAAATACAACACTAGGATAGTATGCATTAAGACAATGGTGTGATGCTATCAAAACTGTTATGTGTATCAAGTTCTGTGATTGAAATGCTATTGGGTAGCGTCTGTTGTGTTTTGAGTTAATTGCAGAATGACTGTCATTACCTGCATGTTTTTCAACTGTACTACTGCCTTTGACATTCAAAATATACAAGAGTTTGTCTCCCTGTTCATTAACTATTATTTAGAAATTTAATAAGCATTTGTCTTACGGGAAGGATTTTCTCAGACTAGATGAAAGGCCGTATGTAATGGTTAATGACAAGAAATGCGGCTACTAGTTTTTTCATCTTTGATTCTTTCTACATCAACAACTTTGGGAGATAAATGAAGTAAGTGTTAAGTACTCTGTATAACATTCTCTCTTTCTCCCCCCACCCCAAGCTGTTTTTTTTAAAATAAAAAAAATATTTTAAACACAAATACAAAGAGATAGACTACATTTATACAACACACCGGAATTTCATGTTCCTTCTTACAGCAGTTTTAGATCAGTACGTATTTTTATATACAATATTTTCCCTCATAATACCCTACCATTGAGTTTCACCATTTTTAACCCTCTTATTTCACTATCATTTACTTATCTACCAGTGGTGGGGTCCAGATCCTGATGCAATTGATACAGTGCAATGGGGCCCCACGTCCCCCACATGCAAGTGCACAGCACATACGCAGCACGCACGCACACACGCACAGCATGTGCATGCATCCTTACCTCCATGACGCCTCCGTGATGGCTCTGCGACACTCCAGCTACTCGGCAGAGTGTTGCGCAGGCACCGTACGCTCCATGCGCATCCACGGAAGGGCGGAAGAGCTCAAATACAGGTAAGGAGCTTGGGGGGG